CTAACGTACCGCAACCATAGGAGCGTTTCCCCTACCAGAGCTGAGCCAAAAAGTTGAGCACGTTTCTTCGGGACCTACTAGTCTTAGAGTTACCTCTATGCTATTTGTGTGCCTCAAGTGTGTCGCGCTGTGCCGAGAGTGCCAATCATCCGACTGACTTTGTTTGTGAATAATTGTATGTTTGGCAACCCGGCATTTTGACAGTTCAATTGTTTTGTTTAGGTATATCAAACCGTACGAGCTATCGAAGACAGTGGTCACGTCAACGCCAAGATCAACAGACACGACATTCGACCGTTGGAACGCTTCCGATTCCGTGTGGACCACGCAGGTCGCTCTACTCGGATGTGAAGTACGTCGGAGAAGCGATTCACTACGATGGCAACTTGATCGACATACTGTACACCATTTCGAATCAGACGCTTCCCTGCGGGAGGAAGGTCTACTGCATATGGGTAATCCGGGATCTTGGAGGATTAGGAATGGCATCAGAATCTGACGTTGACGTTCAACGATCGAAAAGAAGAATACTGCTGCTGCGCAGCACTCGAATCGGCCCAGTTCCATCCCTCGTTTGTCACAGTGCGATGAAGATTTGATCCAAGGAGAGTACAGCAAAAATTCCACGGTGCTGAGGAACATCGGGAAGACCGCGTACGGGAATGTGAAGCTGAGCTACAGGAACTCGGATAGGTTGCTGGTGATATCGAAGTTCGTACTAAAATAGAAGCTCGTGCCGCAGTTTATGATTAAGGGCGAGGAGAAGCGGGATATTCCGATGGAAGTATACCTGTTGACACACGTGAAGCATCCGAACATTGTCAGCATGTTCGACTGGTTCGAGAACGACAAGTTCTTCCAGGTTGTGATGGAAATCCACGGCTCCGGGATGGATCTGTTCGAGTTTATCGATCGAATACCCGTGATGACGGAGAAGCTGGGTTGTTGGATATTTCGACAGATTACTAATGCGGGTAATGCTACGGCACGACCGAGTACTGCAGTCCGGAAGTGTTGGCAGGCATCCGCCACTCCGGCCCGGAACTGGAAATGTGGGCTCTCGGTGTGACATTGTACGTGTTGATGTTCTTCGGGACGTTGAGGAAATTCTGCAATCCGAACTGATCATTTCGCACGAAATCTCAACGCAGAATTGGAATACGTGTTGGACAAGAATTCCAGATCACCATTCGGATGGAATGAATGATGCAGGAAATCAATTCGTCACAGTTCAATTTTGCCAAAATCGTCCCCTGCGAACCGTACGAAATCAATTGATGAGCATGTCCACATTGATGATTCGTTCATGAATCCCGATTAGATGCTGGATAATGACTACGGCAGAGAGTTGAATATTCATTCCACCGGTCTCACCAGTCTGTATATGAGGGTACCGGACGAAACGTGCATCAGTCTGGTTGACGGCTATTAGATTGGCCATCAACAGGAGCTTTACTACTACTAGAAGACAATTGTGATACAGAAGATTATGAGCAGTATCTGGTGCAGGTGGTGTTGGATAGTGATGCTGGTGATGGTGGTGCTGCTGTTGACGACCGAAGGAACACTTCAGCACGATCCGTACAGAAGCAGCAGTTGCGTTGGTGGAGCCACCAGTCCATGGAATTCACAGAGCAAAAGTAACCGTCAGAGGCGGCATCCATTCGGTCGTCATCGTGGCATCTTACTCCGCTGGGTTACGAACCATTACCTGATAAGTTCATAGTTCTGTGACTACGTGGCACTAGAGAACACTTGAAGTCGTTGGTCAGTTTATGGTATATCTAGACATTCTGACCATCTGGGAAGGTATATCTTTGGCAAAGTTCTTCAGATAATCATGGCTTTCAACACGATGGACAGGTTGGTTAAAAATTCATTCACTACGTGGCACTAGTGTTCATATGAACTGCCAAAATGTGCTATATCTTGAGGTTCTAGCTGCTTAGGAAGTTGCTGTCGTCGTTAAAGTTGTTATGCTAATCAAATTTTCGTTCCACAGTGCCTAAACGGTTTCAAATCGGATCCTGATCATCCTCCCATAATTTGAACTCATTTAGTTTAATACTGACTGTGCACAAACCATTTGAAGTTTATATGGGAATCACTATGGGGAAAGCAATTGTATTGTATGAAATTTTCTCAGCTACAACTGTGCTCAAGACCACTTTTCGAATAAATGTAAGGCATAAAAGTTATTAACAACAACGTTGGTGTTTCTCGCTCGTGAAGAGCACATTTATCATAGCTATTATGTCACACTGCTGAATACAGTGTTGCCCACAAAACAGCTGCTTTATCACGCCATAAGATTATCAATCTCTTAAATAATGATTTACTATTTAATATGAAGCTTGACTGAAATACTATCTTGAGTCCATAAAAAAAAAACTATCGAAATTTATCTCAGAGAAATATGGAAAATTACTAGAAAGCAATGAACAGAAAGTTTGGTTTTCCCATAGTAATTAAAAAAAAAACTTCAAATGGTTTGTGCCAAGTCAGTTTCTTTCCAAATGCGATCAAATTTGGGATGCCAATCATGGCCCGATTTAAAGCCGATTGCGCACTGTGAAGCGAAAATTTAAAATTTTGCATCATTCTAGTGAACATATTAGTTCAAAATCCACAGCACCTACTGTAAAATGATGTATACACTAGCGCCGTGCGAGAGATTGTTAAACTTTCATATCCACCATCCAGAAGGTCTTGGTAACTTAAACATTTTGGCCGGCGACAGCAACTTCCAGGATAGTCAGGATCTCAAGATATAGCGTTTAATATAAGCCCGTGTACTCGCTAGCGCTACGTCGTGACCTTGGTAAGGTGAACAACTTTGCCAAAGACAGCAATTTCCCAAATAGTCAAGATCTTGAGATATAGCATACTTTGATTTTTCCAGGAAGTGGCAGAATCCTAAACTACCCAAGTAACATTTCATGTTTTATTGTGGTTTTAAAGCATTCTACAAGTCTAAATTATGGTTTACAGAACCCTCATAATGTCAAAATTGTTACTTGGGTAACCTACTCACTAATCGAAAGGTTTTGGATATCTGAACCAACGGGCAAGACAGCTACGAAATATTTGAAAATATCATCAAATGCTTCTAAATATCATCGAAAATATTTAAGTAGGAATTTTCAAAACCTAATACATGTAAATAGAAGATATAGAGCGTTTAGTGCTGAGTAATGTTTGCTCTTCGAATATTTTTGTTTTTCAGGATTCGTCAAGAGAACACATTTTGATATATTCATCAAAGATGTCCCTACCCCCCTCCTGATCTGAACAGCTTTGTTGAAGACAACAACTTTCCAGCTGGTCTGGGTCTCGAGATATTCTATATACTAGAAGTTCACATACACACTAGCGTGGCATGGTGGTAGAATTACTAACTAATCTGACCACCATTCGAAAGGCTTTGATTATCTAAACAACTTGTCCGCAGACAGCAACTTCCTAGATGGTCGGGATTTCGAGATATTTTACACACGTCATTCCGACAAAAACGTGCTAATAATTGCTAATTGAGAAATATAGAACCAAGATTTTAAAAAAATGGCATGAGTGGAACTGGCCAAATTTCAGCACGCATAGCAAATGAGCACGCAAAGTTGAATGCAAATCGGAGAAGGTCATGATTTTTTTTTATATTTGGCCTGACATTGCTAAAATCCAAAAAACACTCCACCAAGCTTGCAAATGCTCATTTCAGCAAAAAAACCGTTTTTCGGAATTAGGAAACAATGAGATATAATCCCAACTTCTATGTGTAAGATGTAAGAAGAGCATGTAAGGTTTGTGCATGACACATAAAACCTGTCAATTCCGCTTTCAGAGGGTCACAATTAGCGATTTTATGGTTGCTGAGCGCTCGCGATGAGTGAGCAATCAGCGCTCATAAAATCGCTAATTGTGACCCTCTGAAAGTGAAATGGACAGGTTTTATGTTTTATACAAACTTTACTTTGTTTTAGCTCCACAATGACCTAAAATCGTCAAAATAGCATTGAAAACGTTGTATTCAAATTGTCATCAAAAGTTATCTAAATACAGTCACTCCCTAATTCGATGGAAATCTCTATACTTCTTCGATCACCTTTCCCAAACGAAATTCCAAAATTTACCTTCGTAACTCGATGATCCCTCTGTTCAATAAAAGCTTTCTGGCTAGGCTAAGTACGCATTCCATCCAATGAAAGATTTTCGATAGTTTGGCAAAGCCTATAAGTCTATAAAGATTCAAGGTAACCTCAAAGAAAACAAAAATGTGCGAAGGACGATGCCAATTTATCGACGATAATCCAAAATCGATTTTCCTGGCAACCCTTTCAGGCCGTTCTCCGTGATATACAAATCCTGCGCCATAAACCAACAATATTCACCGCAATCAAACTGGCAGATCACGGAAACCAATCGTTACAGAGGTGATCTACGAACGAACATTCACCACATCGATACCAATCAGTCTCGTCATAAATACTGACTCTCAGCAGATCGCAGCAATCCGGCATCCAACCGCTGGCTGACGTTTATTACCTCAGAACACTCCGATCCAAGCAACCGAACCGAAAATGAATTATTGAATATTTAGCCTTGTCTTTGCCTGCCGACTGCCGTTCGCCTTCTTTGGCGCAGTTCTTGTTGTGTGTACGTGTGAACAAAAGTCTCTGTTAATCCGCACCTTGTCCACTGCTCCATGATGGCAGATTGCGCACACTACAGTGAATGAAGCCTTTGGAAGTTCCGTTTTCCTACTGAATGTAGTTAGGCAATCCGGAAGCTTTGCGCTGCACGAGTTTTTCGAGTTTAACGTCCACCAACAGCACTCTCACTCTCAGCTCACTGAGCCGGACGAAAAAATAAACATTACGTCCGGGTCACGCAATTGGGGCTAATTTGAAGCACTAAATCACTCCAATCACCGCCGCCGCGTTTAAATTTATTTATCTTTTGCTTCTCCTAATAAATGTTTAACAAAAAAAAACAACTCTCACCTGATCACCGGTAAGCCCATTTTGAACCCCCGAAAACTGATGAACCGATGGAATCCAAATTTCTTCGCCAAATTTCCGTTCAGCTTTCCGATTCCAAAGAAATCCACTAACAAAAATTCACTTCTTTTTCCACTCGTTCACGTATGCACCGTGAATATTAAATTAACATTTTCTGTCACTTTGCTGCCTGTGAATTAAAGCAAAAACCTAGAAACGAAACCACGAAATCAGAAAACAACAGTTACGAAAAGTAGGCGATCGATCGTCGCCGATCGCCCAAATTCGATTCTTCCCAAAAGTATCACACCGTCAGCAGAACACTTTGTCACTGTGTCACAAAATCTTCTAACGTAGTCAAAGTACTGTTAGCTCGCTTTCTTCGATTCATCCACTCTAAGTAGGCGCACACGAATATCCCTTTCTTGACACACCGGATTCGGAGTAAACGACGAAAGCGGAGCGGATTGATACCACTGACGACTGGATAGTTTTGCCAACCGACCCGTACGAAGTTCAACTGCCAACTGATCGCTGCCAGGCCACGGACAGACGGGATCATTAGCTGCTGCTGCTGGTGGACCTTTCGATTCTCGATTTCTGCGACGACGACGACACATGCTTCTTCCACAGTCGTCGTCAGCTTCATCAGAGCTCCAAAGCAAGCCATGGCGCGAAGAGCGAGAGACAACCAACATGTGCTTTTCTACCACCTCAACAAAGTGTGCGTCGCTCTAAACGGATTTTCGCTCCTCTCTCTCACTGTTTCTCTCAAAACATATCCCTCGGAGGGAGATCGTTGCGGATTGGGTGCAATTGCACGTTGACTGGTGAATGGTGTGAACCTTATGCCATCATCGCAAACGGAGTGGAAGGATGTTGGAGTCAAATGGTGCAACATGTAAAAGGTGGTGCTGAATGTCAGCATCGACGTCCGATCGACGACCGGAGGGAATTGGGATCGAGAGCGAAAGAGAGTGTTAACATGTTTGCGCTCTCGTCTCACCACGGACTACGAGGAGGGTGCGAAAAGAGCGGACTTCTTTGGTGAACGTTCTGGGGCGCTTTAGACCAGAAGCATGGCTATAGCTCGTTGACTGACTAGCAGAGCTTTGGTGGGTAATACTTTTCGTAGAGTAGCATGAGAAATTGTTGTCCCGTTTGAAACTCAGAGTAGTTTGAATAAGTTTTTTTATAGATTGAACCACAGCTGTCCTTAAATTTAGAAAAACAGCTGTGCGAGGAAAATTGATAAAGATAGATTTCTGAATTTCTGGTCTCT